TGTAAAACAATTATTTTAAAGGCTTTACCTTGGTTCTGTTGCTTATGTTTCTTCAGGGATGATTTCTGCCATTTAATTTTCTTTGCTTGAATGGGCCATGGCTTCCTGTTTCTCTGTGTGCCTTGTGATTTTGCTATTGTTGTTAAAAACTGATCATTAAAAAACAGCAAATTTTCCCAGTCTTTGAAGGCTCTGTACCATGGAAGTTCTGAGTTTATTTTCCAGGTGTTCTCTGAGCTTTTAGATGTGTTCCCTTATATGTTATAAGAGATGAGTTTCTCCCATGGATAGTATCTATGCTGCTCAGGAGCAAAAAACTATGCAGAATTAGTGTATGTAAACAGAGGTCTTGATAAGACCAATTCTTCCAATATTAATGACTATTTTGAAACATCCAATAAACATGGTTTTGCTCTATCCTGGACCTAGAAGTTATTTTTGCAATGGTTGGTTTCAAAGCATGCCTTTTTCCAGACGGGAAGCTGTGAAAACAGTCTTAGCTTGAGTGGCCCTGAATGTAGAGTCTGGGAGAGGTGAATTTAAGCAGGTACTTTATTTTGGAGGCAATTCGAAGTTGCAGAAATGAAGGATGGGAGAGAGTGAGAAGCTGCAGTACAGAAGGCCAATATAATAATGTTGCATTGATGCTGCTGCTGTGGACATGGAGAATTCAGTTCTCCTGGACTTCCTCAAATGCATACAAAATTATAAACTCCCATAAACTGCCCACAGAAAGGTTACGAATCCAGAGGATTGAGTAATTGTGAAGGGTTTTTGTGAAGGTCATTAATTTCTTTTCTAACCCTCCCTCTAAGCTGCACATGTTCCTGGGTATAGTGAGTTCTTGTCTGTCTTTGAAGTGTACTATACTTCAGCTAGAATAGTGATGGACTATGCCATTGGTCAAGGCTGTCTGGGACCTGGCTAAAGTGGTGTTCTTATGGATACAGGATGCTGATTTCTGTTGGGTAAGGTCAAAGATATTCATATCATGGCAGTCATGCTGCTGCCTCATGAGTGTAGATGTGGTGCTTTGCCAAAAAGAACTCAATAGTGAAGATACAGAATCTTATCTCTTCTTCCCATTTCCATTTTCTCCTTTTCCTTGTCAAACTTCATCCATTTAAAGAGAATCTCAGGACCATAAAAATGCAGAAGTGACTACCATGTTTTTCCAAACCACTGCTATTATGCAAATGGTTCCCTTGTTTTCCTAGTTTAGCAATCACAGAGAAAAGTTCTTAGCATATTTCTGAGTTTTCAGGGTAACTCTTTGTATGTTGAGAAAGCAGCGAATCAGGGGATCCTCAAAAGCTGTGGGTTTGACTGTGAATTGCACTGGTTTGCCTTAGCCTCCGTACTGGAAAAGGAGAATGTCCAGTAACCCTGCATACATGTGACATGCAGCCATTCATTCTGACTCTCGTCCCTGAGGATTTCTTTTGGCGGAACAGCAAGCTCTCCGGGCTCTGCAACTAGAGAACATCTCTAACATAACATAAATGTTGGGCAGCTGCTGAGAGCTGGAGATGGCTCAGCATGAACAGCTGTGTGTGGTTTGACCTTGAAGAAAAGCAACACAAAATCCCATTGCCATAGGCTGGTTTCCATTTGGATGTAGTGCAAATAAGGCATCATAATAATTAAGCAAATATTCTTAGATGGGGAAGGACATTAAAAAGTCATTTCATTAACAGTAAACAGTGGATAATGAGAAAAAATTATATGTACGACAGTAGAGAAAATGTAGAACTGTTAGAGTTATAAACTATTATGAATTGTTTATGAGAGAAGAGACTTTCACTTTTCCTTTATATGATTCTGTACTGCTTAAGTAAATTTGTTTGCTACAAACATGTCCTACTTTTCTAACCCATTCCCTCAGAACACAGAGGGCCTCTGTGGCTGTGTGTCACGGGTAAGGAGGACAGCTACATTCTTAAGACAATTGTGGACATTGGGTAGAGTTTGGGATGCTTGCTTGCATGGGATATTTAGTATAAACATCTCAGGTAAGATGTTCTGGGTAAGCTTGAGAAGACTTGAGGCTTTAAATGTTGGGAAAAGACTTTAGTAAAATTTCTTGAAATTCTCTATCAACTACTTATATTACTATAATAAAAGAAACCTCAACAATAATAACAAAAAAAAAACTATGTGGAAACATTAATCATACAAGGTTGTAAAAGGAAAGACATTTGTGGTTGTGGACAATTGGAAATAAATTTTGGTTGCCTTCCTTAAGAAATGACAGCTGGGGGTCTTCTTTCTCAAACCAAGACAGAAGTATGGGAAGAAAGGGGAGCAAAAGTTACCCTCAAAGTCTCTGAGTGTGTTGAGCTAAGGCAACTATATTCCATGATTTTCCTATTCCTCAAATCGCTGCTGTGGTGTGGGCTCATGTAGTGACATAATAAATGCCTGTTCAACTAAATATTTCAACGGCTCAAAGAACACTTGGATTAGGCAAATTAAAATTATGTCCAACTTTCTTATTAAATTTGAATTCTGTGACTTTACCGAGTTTTCTGATTGTACTTAAAATAGTTTCAGAGAAAAGTTGTCCCAAAAGCTTTGAACAGGGGATGTATATGTTTTATGGCATATTATGGTGATATAAAGCATGAGCCTCAGTGTCAGATCTGAGTTTCTAGCTTTATTGTTTAAATGTTCGAGTATTTGAGTTTAAGAAAACATTTTAGCTTCTCTAAAGCTTAGTTTCTTCAGATATAAAATGTAATAACTATACCTAAACTGTGGAATTTGGGAGATTAAATGAGGTAAAACTCATGGACTACCTAGCATGGTACTTTTTACAGAGAAAGCAAACAATGTTATTTGTAGTTGTTCATAAACACCCTCCTCCTTTTAATCGTCATCTTATAGAACAGGGATAGGTATACTATAACTCACTGCTTATTTATATTCTCCTCCTCCTCCTCCTCCTCCTCCTCCTCTTCCTCCTCCTTCTTATACCAGGGATTGAACCCAGGGCCTCTTCACCACTGAGCAATATCCCCAGTCCATTTTAATTTTTTATTTTGAGACAAGGTCTTGCTAAGTTGCTCAGGGCCTCACTAAGCTGCTGAGGCTGGCTTTGAACTTGTGATCCTCCTACTTTATCTTCCTAAGCTGCTGGGACCACTGCTTGTTTGTATAAATAAAGTTTTATTGGAACACAGTCATGTCCATTTGTTTATGTATTGTATATAGTGGCTTTAACAGTACCCAGAGTTGAGAAGTTGTAACAAAGATAGGTCATCCACAAAACCTAAAATATTTACTATCTGGTTCTTAACAGAAAAAGTGTGCTAATCCCTGCTCTAGAAGCAAAAAATATAGGGAGGAATTAATGCTTTTATTGAGCTTAAGTTACCAGGAAGTCAGAGCTTTAATTGGAAGAAGTTGGATGAAGAGTTTAAATGACCCTTTAAAGCAATGGAATATTGTATTTTCCTCACAGATTTTCAAAATATACTTAGAGGCAGAGATGAATGCTAAGAAATTTGAAAGGGTAAATCTTTAAGCCTGAACATGTTTAAAGATTAATGGGATTCTTTTGGTTTAATAGAAAAGCCACAGAAGCCAGCAGAGAAATCCTAATGAGTTGGGGGATAATTATTTCCAAAAATTTGATTGTGGTTTAAGTCATTTTATTAAAATGGAAATTTCTGTTTTCAAGTCCAGAGGAATAATTTGGAGAAGGCCACAGAGCATTTATAGCAGGGGAGTATTTTGAACAAAATTTGGTATTTATACTTAGTGATTTTTTTCTTTAAACCTGAAAGTTAATATTCTCAAATACAGGATACAGTGGAATTCCTGGTCTTTAAACCAGAAAGAGAAAACAACATTAACATTCACTTGTAAGAAAGGAGTGAGTAAATTTGATAACAGCAGATTGAAAAGATAATTTTAAAAGACCAAAAAAATTTTAAAAAGAAACAACAACAATAAAAAGCCCAAACCATCATAACACATTAAAGGTAGATAGAACCTGTTCAGAGCAGGGGAGAAATAGAGAGGACATGCCCAAGTAGAGGGTTTGGTATGGCTAAAAATGAGAGACCAGGACAGGAGAACCACCAGGACAAGGTTAGCATTAACATCAAGAAGCTGGTTGGGCAGGGCATAGTGGTGTACACTTGTAATCTCAGCTACTTGGGAAGTTGAGCCAGAAGGTTCACAAGGTTAAGGCAAATCTGGGCAACTTAGCAAGAACTTGCTCAAAATAAAATTAAAAAATAAAAATGGCTGGTTCAGTGGTAGAGAACTTGCCTAGCATGTAAGAGGTCCTGAATCTAATCCCTAACACCACCCAAAAAACAGGAGGAGAAGATGAAGGAGGTCAGCCTTGGCCCATGAACAGCACTCTTCCATGATGCTTTGGTACCACATACGAATGAGCCAGGATCCCATTGCCCCAGGATCCCATTGCCCTTTGAGGAACACATGTGTTTCCTGGTGCAAGGGGCTGTGGTGCTAGGTGACCTTCTTTTGTCCCATTGATCATCCAATAGGAATGATGGATGGCCATTTGTACCCTGAAACTTTGCTCATTTCTCTTCAAGCTACTTCAAATAATCCCCATTTTTAAGGGCTAAGGATGTGCATTACAGAGAGTAAGGGTGGAACACTGTAGGGTTTAAGTGGTATGGAAAAAACAGTTCCTAGTGTCTGTCCTGGGGCTGAGAGGTAGGGCAGGATAGACATGAGTTTTAGATATCCCCCAAATTAAGTTTGCAGTGGGATACACCCTGTGCATAATAATGGTTAGCTCATTAAGAGATTGGTTTGTGGAAGTCCTCAAGTATTTCTCTTTTGTCTTAGTTTGTCCTAAGATTTGTAATAGAGATTGAGGAAAGCACTGACAACATTGCTTGCAGAGCAAGTGCTCAGTGCAAGGAAGCTGTCTGTACCAGTCAGGTTCTCTAGAGAAACAGAACAAATTAGACAGATATAAATATTAAAGAGCAGATATATTATGAGAATTGGCTCACATATTATGGAAGATGAGAAGTCCCATTATCTGCCACTTGCAAACAGGAGAAGCTGGTGGTCTGATTCAGTCTAAGTATGAAGGCTCGAATATCCTGATGAGAGATGGGAAGGGAGGAGGGTATTGGTGAGAATCTTATAATCCAAAGGTCCAGGAACCTGGAGTTTGATGTCCAAAAGTAGGAGACATATGTCACAAAAGAGAAAGCAAATTAGCTCTTCCTCTGTCTTTCTGCCTTCAACCTATTGTATGATGCCAACCCACATTGTTGAAGGTAGATCTTCTTTACTCAGTCTGCTGATTCAAATGATAATCTCTCCTGGAACATCCTGACAGACATACTTATAGCTGGCAAATAATAAGCAGCCAACTTGGCATCCCTTAGCCCAGTCAGGTTGACACATAAAATTAAAAATTGTACTATCATTATTTTGACTATTAAAACCAAACTAAAAACTTGGGGTCTTGTTTTTTCAGTTTTAACAAATCAATTTGCTTCTTTAGAACAAAAGTCTAAATATCAGCATAGCTTTTAGATCCTCATACCCAGAAAGTCCTTTTTCTAGTCACTTTTTTCTCTCACACTAGGATGTACTCCTCTTGTAGCAGTTTTCAGGAATGATTGCCTAGGAGGATCTATGAGCTTAGCATGTACTATAGTACATCTATGAGCTTAGCATGTACTATACTATTTTGTTTCTAATTCCTAAATTAACAACTTAAAATTCCCCATTCAATAAACTTCTCCACCAGTTCCCGCTTTCCCAGAAACACTATTCTTGCTATTTTATACGTGTGCAGGATACAGAAATGTAAACATTTAAATAATTATGTATTTTTAAAGGCATAGTTTAAAGGTAAAACAGCCCCTATCACATCATCTGCTGAAGAAATCTAATAAGTTTTGGGGTTCATTGGGGAGCCAGAGAATATTCGATTTTATGAGAGGATTACGTTTTTATTGAATTACATCTTTATTCAAGGTGATTTGGTTCATCTATTAAAATGGGAAGTTTAACTCAATGATTTGGGGACTAGTAAAGTGTAAACCATGACGAGAATCTTTTGATGAATCGGTTCTTTTGATAAAGACTCTATTGGGGCTTGAGAGTTGCAGACAGAGAATGTTCCCTGGAGATGAGTTTGGTGGTGACTTTTGGCCTCTTCTCCAACAGCCACAGCAAATATGTTCTATGTCCCTGAATGGCCAAAGGCAGAGAAATGAATAGTGAATGAAGGCTCAGGAAATCAAGGTTCTAGTTATGGTTTTGCAACTGACGGTTGAGGTTCCCCAAATTCTTTGGACTTTAATTTTTATCATCTGTAAAAAATAGGGTATAAGACTACTGGTGATTTTAAAATATTGGTTTCATGTGCAGTTAGTGACTTAAAACTAGTTGTTAAAAATACACAATTCCTAGCATAAATCTGGAATCACCCTAACTGTTCATTGATAGGGGACTGGTTAAATAGGTTATGGTATATCCAACCATAAGTACCCTTTACAAAGCAGTAGATCTGTGTGCACTGATATAGCAAGATCTCTAAGGAGTGTCTTTGAAAAAGCAAAGTACAGAGCTTTTGTGTAACTGCAGAGTTCTTGTGTAAGTAAAATGTACGCATGCTCTGTGAGTGTGGCAGAGACTTACTTTCCATTTTTGTTTACTAAAAGATACACATGAAACTATTAACAGTGTTTAGCTTCTTGAAGTCTAACAGCTCTACCTATTTAAAATATTACTAGTAACAATCATAATGTCATCAGTTAGAGGTTGATTCAGCCTGCTTTTATGATGTTTTCCTTCTTTTGCACCTTTTAACATTAATCTACTCTCATGTTACAACAAGGATGGGCTTGGTACTGTGGAAAGACCACTGCACAGGTAGGAAAGGAATCTGAGTTTAGATTACACACTGCTTGAACAATTTTGTATCCTCATTTCTCTGGATCTCAGTATGCTCATGTTGTAAATGGAGTTATAGGACTAGCAATCAAATTGGTGGGTCTATTTTAATTTATTCATAGTTTTATAATCCATCTAGGGAGATGCAGGTATATAGAAATATACATATCCATATTTTAAAATATTTTTTAGTTATTCATGGACACAATATCTTTATTTTGTTTATTTATTTTTATGTGGTGCTGAGGATCGAACCCAGGGTCTCTCACGTGTGAGGCAAGCGCTCTACCACTGAGCCACAACCCCAGCCCCACATATCCATTTTAATATAGAATATCGAGTAAAGAATTTGTAGTAACTCTTGAAAATACTTTAAAGTATTTTCTTTGCTTGACAACATGCAGAATAGAGAAAAAATAAACTCTATCAGTAAGAAATTTTATGATCTCATTTGAGAGACAAAACCAACTAGAGAATAATTTACAGCCACATCTGAATGACCATGGATTATCCTCATTCTTATGGAGGACCCTTTAAAATATCACTCACCTGAAACTCAAGAAAACCAGACTCAGCAATGAAAGTAAAACCCAAGTCCCTTGGCCACACTTGCATTGATCTGTAAAATAAGGGTTAGACAGATGATCGTTAAGTGACTTTGCAGTGATAAATTCTCGGATTCTGCAATTTCTGAAAGCCCAGTCCAAATGGAGGAAGATTTTCACCCCTTAAATCAGATTCCTCTCTACTCAGTAGAGGCTCCATTTCCAATGAAGGACTTTGACAACCCCATAAAATCTCTGTGTAAGTTTAATTCCCAAAGACAACAGCCAAAAAAGGGCCTTGCGTTATGTTAGCCCCACTGTCTGGGTCATCTTTAGACTCTGCACTGCTTTGTCAATGAAGTGGGAGAGGGGACCTAGCTGGGGGCAACCAGGTGGCCATCTGGCCTGTTACTCACAAAGGCCCCAGTGAGTGTGGGACAAGCACAGGACAGGGGCTCTGGCAGGTCAGACTTGACGCCTAACTTGACCTCATTGGCAGCCAGAGTCTGATAAAGACATGATTGAGTAGGATTTCTTCATGACAACTTAACGGATGGCTATAATTAGGAGGTCTGCTCTGAGGGTGTGGAGAAACATAGACTCCATTGTAGGGAGGATTCATACTATAAAGGTCAAGGCCAAAGTATGGCATGAAAGAAGCTCAACGTTTTCCAATATGTAGGAGGAGTACGTCTGCAGGGAAATGTGTTTACTGAGTAAGATCAAGAATACCAGTCTCCTGTTCCTTCCTGTATCTGAGAGTTGTCATCAGAGGTGGATCTTTATCATGGAGCTTTGATCCCTGAGACTCAAGAGTCTAATACTGTAAGGAGAAGATAATATAAACTTCTCAGCCTAAGAGCTTGTATGGGGGGGATCTCAGAAAACTAGTTGACTTTCTTTTTTCTCCTAGAACCATCTCCCTGACTAATAGTAATAACGATAATGACAAGAATAATCAACACACACACAAAGATCTTTAATGGTAAATTTAATCAGTATTTGTCAGATCTATTTATGCTTCATTGTCAAAATGATGATTAATGAAACTGGTTTTAAGCCCAAGACAATTCTGGGGACTTTTTAAAGCCTTTTTCTTAGAAACAAGAGGTTGCATTGTGCCAGCCATAATTAGATCCAACTTACAATGATCAAGAAAAATACAGTGAGTAATGGCAATAATGTTCTCATCAAGGAAAAACAACAGCTCAGGATCTGGGCAGAAACTCGGAGAGTTGGTGAAACTCTGACTACGCAGGGACTTGAAAATGCTCTTACCTGATCATAGTACCAAAGTGAGTTGATTTCCTGGTTAAATTGGTAGTATAGATATCTTGAAGGAAATTCATTAATCCAAGAATTAGATGATCCCAGGGTTCCCAGGGAGACTTTGAAGGCCTTCAGTGCAAAGTTTGAATTATATCTCTCATATTCCTGCCAAGCAGCTGACCCACATCTGTTGTGAGGATTCTGGTGATCAGAAGCTCTACCTCTTTATTCTGCCTATTCCAATTTAGGCAGCCATGAATTTTTTAAAAATCTCTTATCAATACGTATTAAATTAAAATTTGTTTCTTCCTACCTTGTACTGATTGATCCCATTCTATCTCTTGGGGTCACATAGATAACAGTGGCTAAGTTTCTGTTCTACATGGAACCAAAACTGGCTGGGTAATTTGCAGGGCCCAGTTTAAAATATAATTGTGGACCCCCTTATTTAAAAGTATTAAGGATTTCAAGATGGTGACTGCAGAGCATTAAGCCAAGTGTGCAGTTCCACCAAGTACAGGTTCTCTGTGGGGGCACAGGAGAGCCCACCCAAGATGTCAGCCAGCTGTGTAGGTTACTTTTTGTTCTGTTTCTGATATCTGGACTAAGTAGAGTGCAAATAGAAACAGCTTTATTTTTTCATCTATTTTGTGTGAAACTCTTTTGCAATTCCTTCCTGCAGACCCCATTGTAATATTCTGGTCTTTTTCAGTTATTAAAAAGTCCAAACTCTAAACTCTCTTTTAGTTATTATTTCACCCTTCCCTGCGGGGACTTGCTCAGGGCTGGGAAGCCTGCAGACACCTGTTTCTCCTCTTCTGCCTCCTCAAAGGTCTCTTCTTCTTCCCACTCTCCAGGGCTGACCAAGGGCAGGAAGCAGAGGGTTAGTGGGTGGAAATGGCCTTTCTTACTTGCAAGTACAGATGTGATCTGGTGTAAGTGCTTTTTGAGTTGAGGACCCAAGTGCTGCCTCTTTCTCTCATGGGCACTTCTCAGGATTCCTGTGACTTTTTTCCACTGAGGACTCTTAGCTACAGTTTGCTGTGTAGGCTATGTCTCCCCTGGCTGGATGTTTATGGCATTGTTTCCACCCATGGCTGATGGTTCACCATAGTCTCCTTCTGCTGAGTCTCCCACCCCACACTTCCCACTTATGACAGTCCTCTAGGATAGAAAGTTTGCAAATTGCTTCATGGATGGTTTTTTCTTCAGGGTGCATAGTTGGACCTTGAGAACTGCATATTTTGTCCTGTCTTTGATACAGCCCACTTAATTGCAGCTGTCTCTCTGTTTTGCCAGCCAAGCCCACAACCCCCCCCCCCCCCGGCCAGCCATAGTCTCTCTCCTTCAAACTTTCTTCCAAATGTGAGTCAGATACCAGTCTCAGAATCTTCCCCAACTCCAAGGAACATATGTCAAACCCGTTGAGAGGTTGGAGGTTCTTCTCAGTTGGCTTGAGTAGTGCAGGATCAGGGGGATGCATGCAATTGTCTTTCTGGAGAAATTTCACCATTTGTTTCTCCCTACTAAGAAATTCTTAGTCTTTTCTCATATCATCTGGAGGTGAGAGATGGGATAATTAATGTGAACTGGACAAATTTTGGGCCTGACAACTTTCTTTATGTTTGTGATTAGGTCACAGTTGTTGGATTGAGTGTTAGGGCTTCAGCAGAAATTGAAACAAGAAAAATCTCACTTTTACATCCTGTTACACAAGTAATGAACTAAAGAATGTTTAAAGATGACTACTGCTATGGACTTAATATTTGTGGCCCCTAAATTCACATGTAGACTCTCCAAAATCTAATCTGATTATATTTAGTGATAGAGCTTTTGTGGATGTACTTAGGTAAAACGCAATCATAAAGATGGGGCTCTAATCAGATAGAGATAGTATTCTTATAATAGGAGTTAGGAGTGAGGGGAAGGGTGGGAAAGGCAAGGAATAGCAGAATGAAATTAACCTACGTCATGTGCATGTATGAACATAACAATGAATTCCACTTTTATGCGCAAATATCATGCACCAATTAAAAAAATAAATCATTTTAAAAAGAAGATACAGGAGTGCACTTTCTCTCTCCCTTTCTCTAACTCCTTCTTGTTCTCCCTTTGCACCATGTGGGAACTCAGCAAGAAGAAGGGCATCTGCAGTCCAGGAAGAGGACCTGCACCAAACCAAAATGCTTGGCCCCTTGGTCTTTGACTTCCCAACCTCTAGTTGTGAGAAAATAAATTCTGCCGCAGTCCGGCTGGCTGCAGCAAAATAACCGGGGGGGGGTGACGAATAACTTGTGTACGTTGATACAGCAGGAGTGGGAGCCGTTTATTGCAGGACAGGAGCAGTATTTATACATTCCACACAGCTTATCTAATTAACATAAACTAGATACAGCAGTCAACCAATCAGGAATCTCCACACTAATGGCTCACTTTTGTTACTTCTCAAACCACTCCCTCTGGCATTTTGCCAGGCACCATCCAGACTTGTTTACGAACTCTAACATTCCCCTGGCAAAATGCCAGGTGTTATTTTGACTTGTTTACAGACTCTAACAAAATTCTTTTTTTTTAAGTCCCTCAGTCTAAGGCATGCTGTTACTGCAGCCCAAACTGATAGAGATAATCATTCTGCACTTTCTTGAACATTGAACATTGAATTTTGAATCTCTGCACTTTCTTGAACATTGCCTTCTTAAATTTGGGCATCTTCTATTCCTTTGGCCTTTCTCAGCAGATCAGAATCTGCTTGCTCACATCTCTGAGTGGGCTTTGGTTTGTTAGGTAGTGAATTTGCACCTTCTTCGGAGATTGCCCTCTGGCATAAGTGAGTCATCTCACTCTTGAAAATCTTGTGGGTTGCTCATACAATGTAAAATACCAGATGACAGAAATGGGCTGTGTGTATAAATATATAGCCAGTTTTGACTCTTATTGACATAACCTAGATGGCTGTTTTCTTTTATGCTCAAGTGGTACTGTAGAATTTGGGTAAGTTAAATGTACTTTTGGGATGCAGTGAGTCTGTATACAGTGATACAAGGATGGTGCTCAGATAAGAGAGGGTGGTCTGCAAATCTGAGCATACTATTCCAGTGTGTCTGATAAGCAGAATGAACAGGATTCTGAGTGATTCAGGATGCAGAGGCTATATCTCTATGAATGCTTCCTGAGATTGCACTGATCCTGATGGCCTAAGTTTGTCCTACCGTCTCATTTTCATCTTATCCTTAATGTATATTGTACATAAAAATGTAGGTATAGAACTTATAGCCCTTCCATGGTCCATCCCTATTTTCCAACATTCACTGATTGATTCAAATGCATGTATTGACCTTAAAGTACCTCTTTATATGGTACTTGTTAATTGTAAAGGGAAAACTAGGAACTTCATTGTGGAGGAACCTGGCAGACAGTACCTTAATCAAGTGACCATCCCTAGTAACAAGACACAGCAACATCAGACACCACCTTATATGATGCTTCAAGATGGACATAAGATCAGTCTGGTATTCTTGCCCAAAAGGCATAACTTCAATCTAACCTTGAGAAGATATCGGACAGATGCAAATGGAGGAATGTTCTAAAACAAAGTAACCAATCCTCTTCAAATGTGTCCAAAGCATGAAAGAGATAAAAAGATAAAGGACCTAGCTCCCAGATTGGAGGAAACTAAGGAGATATGATGATTGAAGGCAATGCGGGATCCTGAACAACAACAACCAAAGACTTCAGTAGAAAAATTGGTAAAAGTCTTTAGATCAGTGAAAAGTATGATACAATGATAATGTCCAGGTTCAAATAATTT